ATTAAAAATGCATTTGAAATTATTCAACTTTTGAAAAATAAAATGTTATCTTTAATTCACATTTTAATCCGCTGTAACAGTCATTTCATAAATAAAATAAAAGTATTTATGATTTAATTGATAATATTTTTACGTCATTAACTTTATTTAAAAATTGTTATAATTTTTAAACCAATAAAAAAAAAAAAAAAGTTTGCAGAAGGTAGGATCGAACCTAGGTCGCACCGCGTTGCAGGCGAGTACGCTACGGACTGAGCCACTTCGCTGTACTACCATAAGGTAGAATCGATCGGTATATAAGCTGCGCTTAAAATTTTAGAGCCTTTTTTCTCGGAATCTTCTGGCTAGTGCACTTTACAATTCTTCTGGGTGGACACCCTTGAGGTATACTACGAACCTGCCAAGTCTCATCCCGAACTGAATTTCCGAGACCGTAAGGTCCCCTTGTTAGAGAAAGACCATACTGTTATGGAGGGTGACAGTGTATATTTAATGCTGGAACACTACACAAAAGTTCCCAATGTATGGGCCAATAAATTTCATCACCTGAATGAACAGACTTGATAGTCAGCCACGTGCAAACTGTCATTTGGATCACACCCTACATCCTCAGGAATCTCCAATTATTTTCTAACAAGAGCCATTAACTTGGCAAAGCACAGAAAAACCACTGTTGTTCTCCAAAAGTGTCACCAGCTTTGTATGAAGTTTGTCTCCATTTACACCTGGAGAATTTTGTGCAGAATCTCCTGCTGTTTGAAAATTTTTTAATTCTTCAAGCAACAACAATCTTGCTTCTAATGCTTCAACAATATTTAGAAAATTTAACAAATGGGTTTGGATTTAAACTAGAGAAGTGGTTAAATATGGATTCTCAAAAGCTTCCTTAACATTCACAATGAAAGAACTTTGTTTCACCCAGTTCATTGATAAAATTTTGAAAGACATATATGATCTGTATAGAATATTGTTGCTTTTATCCATGTGCTCTATCTCATGACTGTGGGAGAGTGGTAAAGGAATATCTGGCAGTTAGATTGGTGCCTTTGGAGCAGTTTCTTGCCAGAACAAATGAGACTGTTTTCATCTTTAAAATGCAAACTAATTTGATGATCTTAAATGATCTTGCTATATCCGAGAAAAATGTTTCCTTGATCTTGAGGTTCCACTTTTGTGAGCAGCATCTGGGATGTTTCATCCTGTCAACATGCTACTTACCTGCACATCTTGCAGAACAAACGATTCCCAAAATGCAATTTCTTTATGCATGCAAATGCATGGTGACACACGTGGTAGAACAGTTTTTAGCCATCCACTTCACTTTACTCACCCACTTCAGAAATTGAGATAGAACTTTTTGCTTAGCCATAATTTCCTAGTCTGTAGCCAAATATAAAACCCCAAGGCTGTGCACAATTCTGCATTTCACACTGTTGCCAGGTCTTAAGAGAAAATATCATCAATAATTTATTAAAAAGTAACCAAAAAGTTACCAAATCAAATTAAATTACCCCAAAAATTGCAAGACTAACAATTTTTGGTTCAATCAGTTAAAAAAAAAATCTGAATTTGGTGTAAAGTAATTCAACCTAGCAACATTGTTTACAAAATGATGTCCAGGGGTGTGTCTGCTTTTGCTCTGGAATCCGGAATGGTTCTTTTGGATACCTATCTATCTACCTGGCATCTGTGATTGCATACATAACAAATTTTAAAAATTTTTCTAAAAATTATGAATATATTTTAAAAAGATGCAAGAAAATCCAATAAATCAAGTATTTTTGCTGATTTCAGTTTAAAAAATGTAAAATGTTCATTTTTATTGGTTAGAAGCAAACTATGTCATGTTCAGAACTCTTGTCAAATTTTTGGATAAATCCAAAGACTAATTATCAGTGCCATAGTTAAAAAATAGCAAAGATTTTATATCTAAAGGTTAAATGTATCTGGAAAGGAAAAATCACTGGGAGGTCCAAGTGGCATAACAGTCAGCACACTGCATGGTAAGCAAAGGTTGCAGGTTTGACTCCCACTCTGGGCTGATTTCTTTTCTTCCAGACTATTCTAAATTTAAATTATAATTATTTCTTTTGTTAAGAGATGGTGCCTAACATCTACTTCTAATTGTTCTAGTCATTTAATTTCTAATTAACATTTGTAGCATAATTTCTGCCTAATTAATTGGGCTGATGGTTGGATGATTATTAATACATCACGTTATTGGGATGTTTATATAAAGATAATTATTAAATAATACTTCCAGAAAAGTAATAACTAATGTTTTCAAAAAGCTATCTTAACAATATGCAAGAAATATTAAACTGGTTGGAAAAAATGGATTTTGATTACATAACGCAGACAACAGCATTAACCAGTGATCACAATAAACAGCAACCGCTGTATTTATTTTCCTGATATAAAGAAAAAGTGATTTTTAACATTACAAAGGCTAAATTACAAAAGAAGACTAACATCAAATATTTTTAATAGTATTATAATAATAAACTGTAGTTTGCAAAATATTAATTGATATGGTTACCTTATGTCAGAAAATAATTTGTCATCTCGGTTTCTACGGTTTCTGCGTTCTTCTGTCTCTTTAGAATCTTCTTGAGAATTATTACTAAATCTCACAGTACGATCAGTGCCAGGCTTTGTAGATTTTGTTTTATGCAAGGCTAAATTGAAAAAAATTAAATATCATAAATCATTACTTTAAAAATACTCTTCTGAACTTCATCTTAAAACACAATAATAAAATGGTTTAAGATATCAAATTTTTATTAAACATTACAAAAATAGGGTGACCAGCCATCCCATTTTTCTAAATTTTGTCCCACTGCCTGACAAAGTTAAATGTCCCATCTTTCTTTATTCTTATATTTATGTCACTGAGTATATTTCAAGTAATTTCATTTGCTGGTTTGAGTGACCGTGTCATCATGAAATCAGCTGTGACAACTGCAACTTTATTACTCTCACTAACTATAATCTCAAACCATTTTACAAACATTATTATTAAAGACAGTGTTTAAAGTTATTGTTCACACTAAAACACCAAGTGTGTATTACAATTTTTACTGTTTTAGTTTATCTGTTTTATAACTTATATTCCTGAGAATAAAAAAAGTAAAGTAACATCAGTAAGCATCTTTATTGTGATCACCAATTCAAAATGGCAAAATTCACTACATTTTAGTTGTTTATTAGAATCACAGTTTTAGATATTAGACTCAGATGAATTTCAGATACTTTTGTGCCATTTTGAGGCAGGCAGTGATGATTTATACTTTCTAGTGTGAATTCAAAATAAGCAAAAATTAATTAATATTTTAAGTAATTATGTAACATTTTACATAAGCTAAATTTTAAATATATTCTAATATTAGTTTATTGAAATGTATACAATTATCAAACAAAACAAAAGCAAAACATTCATTAAAATGCAATAAATGTTTAATGTGATATTTTATTTAAAATAATTTTTAATAAAACATTGTTTCATAAAAAAGTTGTTTTCCTAAAAGTTTCCCAAAAAAATTTAGTGTCTTGCTTTCATATTTTCAAGTTATGATCACCCTATATCTTAAACTTGTGTATTAACTGATAAAAGTTTTAAAATAAATCATACCAAAAAGATACTTACAAACTATAAAAAGCACAGAAGACAAACAGGACATTAAATAGGACAACAGGAAATCAGAATTTAATTCAGGTTTATCATTCTTTGTATTACATAATTATATTTGAAGTTTCTTAATTCATATCAATTTCTGACAACTTTTTATAAATATATTTTTTGTAATTTGTTAAAAAATCTGATTTATTTAGTGACAAAATGAAGCTTATAAAGAATCCAGAATAGAGTAAAAAGATATTGGTTATACTATATATTAAAGTAATATATCTATTATTTAATGAGAATGAAATCTCATATATATATATATATATATATACAGTGGTGCCTCGTATAACGTACGCTGCGAACAACGGACTTTCCGTTCGGCAGTTACGTGAGACGAACAATGCACTTTTTTCGAACAAGTGCGAATAATGTTTCCATTCTTTTGCCGTTGCCAATGACAATCTGCTATTTTTAGGATATATTAGTATTATTAGAATGTATTATTAGTATATCTGAAGTAGAAATGTAATGTAATATATGTTGATGATTTAAATAAACATTAAATGTAATGTAATATAATATATGTTGACGATTCAAATAAACGAAATGTAATTGTGTAGATGCCGAGGTGGCGGGACGAAAAGAGGTTGTAAAAAACAAACGGAGCGAGAGTAGCTCGTAGAAGTGTTTAGTGATCTTAATTAATAAAGAATTATTCGTATCATATAATCTGGCAAGTTAAGTCATTTATAATGCATCATGGCTTCTAAAAAAACAGAAAGGTGATTTCAATTGAAACAAAGCAAGAAATCATCAGGAGTGAAAGTTGACAAAAACTTTCTTGTCGAATGGGGAGAGGTTCAGGAGTTTACCAACACTCATTATCCAAACAGAGCTGAGGCCAACAGGATCAATGATCTCTACGATGACACCTTTGTCCGTCATTTCCGACAGGTGTTAAAGAAGAAAGAGAAACAGACCACCTTGGTCATGTTTTTCAAGAAGCCAGCGGGCAAAAAACAAAGGATGGAACAAGAGAAGTTGACCCTGCAAGTTCCGGTAGCCTCTCCTGAATCTGACTCCGATTAAAAAACAATAAAAAAAGACCCGCTGCAATGTGTAAAAAGTCTGTATCTGTATGAATGTGTAAAGAAAGTGTTCTTCCACCTCCTCCTCACAACATCTGACTACCCGGCATAATTGGTGTCTGCTCCATTTTCATTTTTTATGGTACAGTACAGTTATTTTATGCTGCGGAACGAATTATATGTTTTAACATGTATTTCTATGGGAAAATGCATTTCGTATAACGGACGTTTCACTTAACGGACGTGCACCTGGAACGGATTAAGTACGTTGTACGAGGCACCACTGTATATATAAATAACTATAACTTCAGGATAATAATAATAATAAGCAAATAAATTTGGTTATTGTATTTCAAACATTTAAACGATGCATATGTTTTGAAATTACTTTTTGTGAACTGATCCATTCTAGATTCTACAGTATTATAAAAATCCAGCAACAAGTTGTATAATTTTCCCAGTATAAACATTTAAAATTGTGTTTAATACCATCTGTTATGAATTTTATTTTTAAAAAGTTTTTATATTCTTAATTATTATAAAATGGCAAATAACTTAATTCTGAAGGAAGAGATGAGTTTTATAAAAAGTTGTAAATGCTAATAATGAGTAAATTCTTCACTAAGTTCAACCCTACTTGAGATGATATACATGACCCCCCTATATATCTCCCTACTCCCTCAACCTTTAACTACCAAAATTTAATGGCATCTATTTCCCTAATACACAACCTCCCTGCAAACCTTCAGAAATTTTCAACAAAAAGTACAGAAGTTATTAAAGTTATATATACTTGTATAACATATATTTCAGCTTCAAAGTGAGCAAACAAAATCATACCTCCAACACATACAAACATCCATACATAGAAAAACCCTCAACTTTTTTTTTTTTGCAATTTGACATTTCAAGGTTTCAAGTCCAAAAATGTAATAATGTTGAAGGGGGTAATTTTTTGACCAACTGTCACATTTCCCCGTATAACAGCCAGGAAAGTAAAAATCAACTTTCATAGTGAACAACTTTTTGCATTCCCAAAAATATATTAATTAATGATTACTTTCTATTTTTGATAGGATTCAACAGAAACATAATAATAATAATAACAATGAAATGTGTATAGGAAAAGATACAATATCCAAATATTATCAAATCTTTAATGTCCAGTACATAATATTTTAAAATAAACATTTTCTGCTACTTTGATCTTAAAAATATCTGTTGGATACCAAATGTTTACCAAAATGTGAATAATAATATAAAACAAGTAAAATGGCAAAACCATATTTGGGACAAGACTATGTCTCGGAGATTCACTACTAAGTGGAACCACTTTGACACTCAAGGCGGGTCTCGTTCTCATTCTCCAATCTTCTTTGGTATTGCTGCTTTTGGGTGCGATCGTTCAAACTTTGCCAGCCACGACCACGAGGTCATCCATGATGCATTTTTGATGAAATTAACCTATCCAATTTCAAAATTTCTCTGTTGCGTGTTGGCCCAGGTTAAATTTTTGTCAATGCGTAACGAAAATTTCCTGTTTTTGAAAAAAATAACTGTGGCTATTGTATCGTCCGAAATTATTTTTTAATTTTGCACAAACAATATACAGTTTAACCCGATTATAACGTCATCAGATATAACAACAACCCTAACATAACAAATTTTTAGTGATCCCACGATTTTACCATACTAGATAATGTTAAAAAACCTACTTGTAATGACATAAGTAGGTTTTTTACCCTGTTTTAATGTCATATTTGAAGCACTCCAAAATTTACAAAATTAGATTACAAATTTTATTTAACAAAGAAAATACTACATGTTCAGTCCTATCCTAGGGTCAGAGTCCACTTCCTAGAATGACTGTGGGCAGTACTCTCACCACCTGACTTTGGTTTGCCTGTTTGTAGAGAGTGTCACCATTTTGTATTTTATTTTGATTCGGTTCTCGGTCCCAAGTACCTAAAAGTGTAATTTCTTTTATGCGCACATGATTTTGGCACCTAATACTCTGTGCCAAATTGCAACTGACATGTACTCCCTTCATACCTCTAAGCTGGTAACAAAGCAGGCAGTACAATTTTATAAACAAGACATAGTCTTGTCAATAATTAAAATAAGTTCTAAATGTGTTCATTTATTATTCAGTTATCATACCTCTGCATGGATAATCTGTAAATTATCTATATTTAAAAGTCAGTTTGAAAGTGGGTACAGTGATATCTGATAAAGCAGGTTATCTCCTGATTTTAAACTCACACATTATGAACTAAGGAAACAGCTTATCTTTTATCTAAACTTATCAAGAGCAAGAGCATCTAAAAAAAAACAAATTTCTTTGCATGTTACAGCATCTCCTATCATAATTTCTCTGAAATCTGCTAAAGTCATGTACAGTAAATGGTAAATGTATACTTTGCCTTAGTTCTTCCCATTTGTTTTCTATACATTAATTCATACTTTGCTGCTCAGATTAATGACATTTGCCTAAATCAGGGATGGCGAACCTTTTTGAGTCTGCATGCTACATAGTAAGCATATTAAGCATACTTTTCTTTAAAAATGATTATGCGTGCAGAAGTTTTAGACTTCTAGTAACTATATTTAAATTTGGCAGAATGGCAGAGCGGTCAAAGTGGTAGCCTATCGCTCTTGTGGACCCGAGATCAAAACCCCAGAAAATTTTCAGGTGGTGATCCGACTATTCCATTTGGAGTTAGCTAAATAAAAAAGCCCTCTTAGTGCCCAGAGGAGAAAGAACAAAAATAAANTACATTCCCACGGTTGTCCATCTGTCTGTCCTTTGTTAATCTCGAGAACAGTTAGTTAGAAAAAAATAGAGACCAGATACGAAAAGCTTAGTGGCCAAAAGCCCCCAATTAGCAATGTAGGAATTTACTGTCTGGCCCAGAAGTAACATGACTTTTTAAATTAAAGTACTAGGCACACTACATATCTGGTA